GTTTGTGTAATTATATTTCTGATTAGTCTCTGTATATGTCCTGTTTACATTTAAAGTTAAAAAAAGTAATTTACATTGGTATACTAACATGTTTCGCAACTAGCTCCGGTAAATCCTGAAGGACATATACAGGTTCCGATGTCTGTATGACATACTCCTCCGTTGTAGCATACCTCACAATCCATGGTACAGTTAGGTGGAGACCACTTGTTATGTGGACATTCTGAAACACAAGTCAACTTATTGAATAATAAAGTAAAATTCACATATTACAACATTTAATTTTTCAAAGAAAACAACAAAAAACCGGTGTCTAGCTTGTAGAATTTCAACGACAAAAGAGGATACAGTTGAATAATTTCTACAGTTTATAAGTAATTTGTAAACTTGTCTAAAACGAAATAAAAACGTTCCATAGTATGAAACAAACGTGTTTTTTTCTGTTTAAATTTGCCAGTTACATTATATTACAATGCAACTAGCAAACCTAAGCATAAAAAGACATGTTCGTTTTGACAAAGGTAACACACAGTTATATATTCGTGTAAGCTTTAATTTATTCAATAATTAGTTTTTAATTATTTCTTTCATCGTAACTCCCTCCCGTTATCCCATACCTCCATTTCTTTTTCCATCCATCTCATATTTTATAGTAAGTCAAAAATTTATCTGCTGAGGTGTGAATTTTATTCAGAATATTAAAAGGAATGAACGTGTAGAAGTTCAAATACATTATAATCTACCTCTTACTATCAACTGCATGAAAGCGTGTTTTCCTTCATCCCGTGTGCCATTTACATAACATTCATAAACCCCGGCATCATCCAATGTAATATTTTCTAACGAAATCTCCGTCAAGTTGTCCCATTCTATGTTGTAATTTCCGTTCTTCGCCCATCGTAAATTTTCAATACTCGCATTACGTTGATCGACGCCAAATGTAACGTTACTATCACGTACACTTACAGTCTTAGTACGAACATTCGGTATTACAGTCGCTTTGGAAAAAAATACATAAAGTGGATTAGCTCTTTGGATCTGAAACACCTTGTCAAATATAGTTTCAATCAAAGAATATTTGCCTGTAGTTTTGTTGGTGTGAGTGGAGCGTACGAAGAGGGCGTGTGGGCATCTATGTATGTAAGGCACCATAAAAAAATTATTAGTTTATCAACCTATCAAAGAATAAAAACTGATGAGGGAGAGAGTTTTTTTTTTTTTTTTTTTTTTTTTGCTAACCCCGCCCCCATTTTACCGATGTTCGCAAGTAATTTAATGGTTAAGGACAAATTTATAAATGGTCATAAAAGTGGAATCAAATTAATATTTAAAAAGATATGTTTGTTGTACCAGTAAACATATTTGCGAGAAATCCTGATGTTTCAAGTGAAACAAGATGGAAAAACGACTTTTTGAGATAAAAATATATGTTGATTGAAAAAAAAGAAAAAAAAAATTTTTTCCCAAAAGTGAAAAAACTAATATTTTTTTTATGGGGCCTAATGAGGTCTTTTTAAATATTAATGTGAATAAAATAGTAACAGTTTTACACGAAAATGATTTGTGCTTAATATTGTTTGATTTAAAGATGACTCTGTAAAAAATCGGGAAAACCAAACAAATTTATTTAAATTAATACTGAATAGCTCATTTAGAAGATGAAATAAGTTAGTAACTTCAGCCGAAAAACCATTAAAAATATTTTGCGCTGATTTACAGATATTTTACTACAAAAATCCTTAATTTTATTAAATAATAGCAAATTTAAGAACCAATGCGAGAGAATACGGAAAAGCTAATTGTCAAATAATTGACGAAATGTTTTTCTCATTATTTTTTTATATGCTAATTATAGTTTAACTATATTTAAATATACAAATCAGGCAATTCAAATATTATGTATTGTAATTATTAATTATAATTAGGCCTGTAATATATATCAAATATATAGAATAAAAGGCAAAATACTGAAAAACAACAATACTGAAAAACAACAATGGCTGGATCTCGGTAGAGATACAAAAATGATAAGCAACAGCTAAAAAGTAAACGTAAGTAAACAGCCAGAAATAGAACCGTAT